AAAACAGTTCCAAAAGTAACTTTGAAAACAGTTCAAAAGTAAATAATGCAAGAAACGGTTCATAAATAAATTTAGAAATAGTTTGAGGTCACTCACCTCCATGGCTCAGAAATCATCCATCAAATATCATTGCCTTGCTCAAATCCAAGTTTTAAATCACAAACTCAATGCAAACGAGTTCCTTCAAAGTTCGGACAGCACTTCCCCTGAATTTGTTAACTTTTCCAGCCATCATGGCTTCATTACTTCCTCAAATCAGTCCCAAAGGTACACACACAACAACAAGTTCATCCAATAGCCATTCAGAGCTCAAACCAGAAAAACAGTTTTGACGTCATTTTGCGGTAATGGTACCAAAAGCACTACGATGGTCGGATGAAGGTGCAAGACCCACCGTTTCGAAGCTAAGAGATAGGGCTACAACAATTTAGAAGGCCACTCAGTCCAAATCCTAGCACAACTAGGTCAAATATGCAAAATACCAAACCAGAACCGTAATTGCAGGTTTACAAATCACACTATTGTGTAATTAGTCCAACTCAGTCTATACATGTCCGAATGCAGAAATTCCAAAGGCATATGATAGCTAGGACATCAAGCTACATTTCATCAGAAGACCTCAACACCCAAATCCAAAAAAATTCCAGTCAAAACAACCCATTTCAGACGCAGTTCTAACATCCTGATGAACCCAGAACAGCAATAGTAATTTCGGCTTATCTCATTCTACACTACTCCAATTGACCTGAAATTTTACAGGCACTTCAAACACATCAATACCTACAACTTTCATGTTTTAAGCCAAGGACAATTCGGCCTCTATCTAGGACCTAAAATTTCGGACAGAATGAAGAACCAAGAACCCTAATTTCCAGAATTTCTTCCAAAACAGAAATTGATTGCAATTGCCAATCATTTACACTTACTAGAGTCATTCTAGGCCATTGCCAATCATCATACAAGGCCACAACAACATGATCACATTAAACCAGAAAATTCCTCAATAAAATAAAAACTTAACCAATTCATCTCAAACCAAGCAATAAACCACAATTTTCAACACTATAGCCACCATTAGGCACAAATTAAGCATCATTAAGTATAGGAGAAAGGTCAAGCACCAATTACCTAGTAAACAAGAGAGAGGAAGTTGTAGAACACCTTAGCTTCCTTGACCACTTCACCAACTCACTTACTAGCACCTAATGGAGAGGTTTTATGGAGTAGAAACAAAATCAAATGGTTGGATTATTGGATTGGAGCAAGAGGAAATCAAGATGTTGAACAGTTTTTCTTCCTTTCTTCCTTAAGGTTGGCCGGCCATAAGAGCTTGAGAATGAAGCCAATTTTGGTAAATTTTGAGATATTTAATCCAAGGGTAAGAAAGGTCAAAGTTGTCTTAGGCTCCAACCACTCACAAAGTGACACGTGTCACTTCATTAAATGCACTTCTATCCTTTTGTTCCCTCTCACATCAATCACATCTCACCCTCTACTTATCTCTTAATACCCGATAAATTTTACACAGTATCCGGAACTTAACCTTATTGGCCGAATTTTTCCGAACTTTTCGCACTAGTGGGGCCCACGTCCATAATATATCCGTAATTTTTCAAAAACTCTCCAATACTAGAAAAATCATTTGAAAATGATATTTGCTCATAAACTTTATCTGGGGAATTTTTCTAATCAAGAAAATGTAGAAAATGCGGGCGTTTAAAAAATAAACCCTAGAAAATTAGAAAATTTCCGGGTTCTCAAACTCATTTTTTTTTTCGGGGCGTCACAATCTCCCCTCCTTAAAAGAATGTCGTCCTCGACATTCCCTCTTGTACCAATCAAGTCAAGACATCCCGCAAAAATCTCTCAAGAGTCAAATCAAACCCACAGTCCGGCATCCTAAACTTCAAGCCTAGGATACACTACAGAGATCTGAAGCCTAAGCTCTGATACCAATTGTCACGGCCCCCCTCCCCCTAAGGCGAACCAGAGGGTTCGGCGGGCCGCCTGCCCGGCTCTCGCTGGGACTCAGTCGATCACTACAGTCCTCAAACAAATACAAGATAAAATCTCAAAACTAGACTATTACACATCCAAGCAATTCTAAACGTTCAAAACGTTCAATACAATCCCAATATGAACGATTACACAAAAGGAAATCCAAATTTAGTCCATACATGAGATAATCCATGATTAAGCACTACAAGCCCTTCCTTCGCTTTGAGCCCTGTGGAGGGGAATAAAACATTTTTGGGGTGAGCTAGAAGCTCAGCGAGTAACCAGTAAAATCAGTAATCAAATCGGTTGAACTATAGTTCATTTCAATGATGTTCAATTCAAATCAAATGATAAGTCCAGAAACAATTTCAACATTTACAAAACATTAAATATGGAGTATCAATAATTCAAGAAACATGTACAATGAAAAGCGATAGTAACATTCATGAGAAGGATACGTTCGTTCTCCTGCCATTTCATTGCATTTTTGGTTTCATTCGTGCATTCATTCACCCCGTCCCTGGCTTTTGGCCAGGCTCCACCAACCTACAAGGTAATACTCGAGTATACCGAAACGTTCACCCAAGTTCCTAGTCGCCCGACCGAGTCCGCTTCTGGCTCGAGACGACCGGTAACAAGGGGCAATGGCCAGTTCAGCCCAAAAGGCTTACATTCATGCGCAAGTAGCATTTAATCATTAATCATTAAAAATTTCATATTTATTTAGGTCGAGTGCAATAAAGTACACACTCGCCTAGAAAACTCGTTTTAACAATCATTGAAAGCAAAATCAATAATAACAAGACACTGATATGCAAGCACGCATGATATGTAAGAAAACAGTTCCAAAAGTAACTTTGAAAACAGTTCAAAAGTAAATAATGCAAGAAACGGTTCATAAATAAATTTAGAAATAGTTTGAGGTCACTCACCTCCATGGCTCAGAAATCATCCATCAAATATCATTGCCTTGCTCAAATCCAAGTCTTAAATCACAAACTCAATGCAAACGAGTTCCTTCAAAGTTCGGACAGCACTTCCCCTGAATTTGTTAACTTTTCCAGCCATCATGGCTTCATTACTTCCTCAAATCAGTCCCAAAGGTACACACACAACAACAAGTTCATCCAATAGCCATTCAGAGCTCAAACCAGAAAAACAGTTTTGACGTCATTTTGCGGTAATGGTACCAAAAGCACTACGATGGTCGTATGAAGGTACAAGACCCACCGTTTCGAAGCTAAGAGATAGGGCTACAACAATGTAGAAGGCCACTCAGTCCAAATCCTAGCACAACTAGGTCAAATATGCAAAATACCAAACCAGAACCGTAATTGCAGGTTTACAAATCACACTATTGTGTAATTAGTCCAACTCAGTCTATACAGGTCCGAATGCAGAAATTCCAAAGGCATATGATAGCTAGGACATCAAGCTACATTTCATCAGAAGACCTCAACACCCAAATCCAAAAATATTCCAGTCAAAACAACCCATTTCAGACGCAGTTCTAACATCCTGATGAACCCAGAACAGCAATAGTAATTTCGGCTTATCTCATTCTACACTACTCCAATTGACCTGAAATTTTACAGGCACTTCAAACACATCAATACCTACAACTTTCATGTTTTAAGCCAAGGACAATTCGGCCTCTATCTAGGATCTAAAATTTCGGACAGAATGAAGAACCAAGAACCCTAATTTCCAGAATTTCTTCCAAAACAGAAATTGATTGCAATTGCCAATCATTTACACTTACTAGAGTCATTCTAGGCCATTGCCAATCATCATACAAGGCCACAACAACATGATCACATTAAACCAGAAAATTCCTCAATAAAATAAAAACTTAACCAATTCATCTCAAACCAAGCAATAAACCACAATTTTCAACACTATAGCCACCATTAGGCACAAATTAAGCATCATTAAGTATAGGAGAAAGGTCAAGCACCAATTACCTAGTAAACAAGAGAGAGGAAGTTGTAGAACACCTTAGCTTCCTTGACCACTTCACTAACTCACTTACTAGCACCTAATGGAGAGGTTTTATGGAGTAGAAACAAAATCAAATGGTTGGATTATTGGATTGGAGCAAGAGGAAATCAAGATGTTGAAGAGTTTTTCTTCCTTTCTTCCTTAAGGTTGGCCGGCCATAAGAGCTTGAGAATGAAGCCAATTTTGGTAAATTTTGAGATATTTAATCCAAGGGTAAGAAAGGTCAAAGTTGTCTTAGGCTCCAACCACTCACAAAGTGACACGTGTCACTTCATTAAATGCACTTCTATCCTTTTGTTCCCTCTCACATCAATCACATCTCACCCTCTACTTATCTCTTAATACCCGATAAATTTTACACAGTATCCGGAACTTAACCTTATTGGCCGAATTTTTCCGAACTTTTCGCACTAGTGGGGCCCACGTCCATAATATATCCGTAATTTTTCAAAAACTCTCCAATACTAGAAAAATCATTTGAAAATGATATTTGCTCATAAACTTTATCTGGGGAATTTTTCTAATCAAGAAAATGTAGAAAATGCGGGCGTTTAAAAAATAAACCCTAGAAAATTAGAAAATTTCCGGGTTCTCAAACTCATTTTTTTTTTCGGGGCGTCACAATTCATGAATCTCATAAAAGTACTTGGTGCATTGGTTAGCCCAAAAGGCATGACCAACCACTCAAAAAGTCCATGTTTTGTCTTAAATGCAGTTTTCCATTCATCTCCTTCTTTCATGCGAATTTGATGGTAACCACTTTTCAAATCAATCTTAGTAAAAATGATAGCACCATGTAATTCATCAAGCATGTCATCCAAACGAGGTATGGGATGGCGGTACTTTACCGTGATGGCATTAATTGCCCTACAATCAGTGCACATTCTCCATCCTCCATCTTTCTTTGGAACAAGGAGAACTGGTACAGCACAAGGGCTTGGACTCTCTTGAATCCAACCCTTACTAAGCAACTCCTCCACTTGTCGTTGTTGCTCCTTGGTTTACTCAGGATTGGTCCTATATGGTGCCTTGTTTGGAAGGGAAGATCCAGGAATGAAATCAATTTGATGTTCAATTCCCCTTAATGGAGGCAAACCAGTAGGTATATCCTCAGGAAAGACGTCTTGATACTCCTGTAAGAGGTTAGTAATAATACTAGGCAAAGAAGCATCAAGAGCATTAGTGAGTAAGGATTCCTTGCCAAATAAAATAAATAAAATCTGATTAGAATGCAAGGCCTGTCTCACATTTTTCACCTTGGCAAGCATGCTGGGTTTTCTCTCCTGTGTGGGCTCTAAGGCCGAATGAGAGTGATCCAACTTGCTTGAAGAAGGGTCGGCCGTCACTAATTTCTTAGCTTTGGCGTTGTCCTTCTTGGTGGTAGCATGCAAGTCATACTCTTTTTGTAGACTAACTTGATCCTCATGCACTTGTTGAGGTGTAAGAGGTGCAAGTGTAATCTTTTTACAATTATGTATGAAAGAGTATTTGTTCAAGAAACCATCAAAAGTGACTCTTTTGTCAAATTGCCAAGGACGCCCTAAGAGTATATGTGCAGCTTGCATTGGTACTACATCACACATAACATCATCTTCATACCTACCAATGCGAAAAGTAACCAAAACTTGTTTATGAACACGTACCTCTCCACTGTTGTTTAACCACTGAAGCTTGTAGGGACGGGGGTGCTCACTAGTTGGCAAGTTTAGTTTCTCCACCATCAATGCACTAGCAACATTAGTGCAACTTCCGGGGTCAATCACCAAGCTGCATACCTTGTTGGTCACATGGCACCTAGTGTAAAAGATGTTGTCACGTTGAAGCTCATCTTTACTAGCTTGAGTAGCTAGGGCCCTTCTTGCTACCAATCCAACTTTGTCCTGAGTTGGAACTTCCTCTATCTCATCTTCCTCTTCAACCAAGGGAGGCATGTCTTTGTAATCCTCCTCTTCATCATTAGTGACAATGTCTCCATTTGGTAGGACAAGCATGGTCCTTGGGTTTGGACATTGGCTTGCAATATGCCCAACCCCTTGACACCTCCAACATTTGGTGTCACGATTCCTAGGTTTTGAAGTTTCAATTGTTGGCTTTGAAACAACCTTGGAGTCGGTTTTGGTAAAAGGTGGTCGTGAGCTTGACCCTTGATCTTGCTTCGGCTTTGGAGGGTTCCAAGCGTTCGGACCTCTCTCCTCCCTTCTGGGCTGGAATGGTCGAGTAAATGGTGGCGGATTAGGGTTATAATTTCTGGTGGTACCCCTCCATTTGAGCCTTTGCTCAATCTTGATAGCCTTTTCCATCATATCTTCTATCTCCACATAGTATTGAAGCTCAAGTTGATCGGCTATTTCAACCCTCAGACCACTGAGAAATCTTGCCATTGTAGCCTCTCGATCTTCTTGAATATCAGCTCTCAACATGGAGATTTCCATGTCCTTGTAGTAGTCCTCAACTGAGCGTTGACCTTGTGTCAAGGTTTGAAGTTTTTGGTACAAGTCTCTATGGTAGTGACTTGGTACAAATCGCTTCTTCATCAGTCTCTTGAGCTCAGTCCAAGTGGTTATAGGTGGTTCTCCACACCTTCTCCTGCTTGTAGCTACTTGTTCCCACCAAACTATCGCATAGTCGGTGAATTCTAGTACGGCAAGTCTCAATTTTTGTGCATCGGTGTAGTCATTACAATCGAATACTAGCTCTACTCGACTCTCCCATTCAAGGTATGTATTCGGATCAGATTTGCCTTGGAAAGGAGGAATCTTCATCTTAATCCCCTTGATTGCATCACCGATTGCTCTTGTGTTTCGCTTCGGTCTTCCTTGCTCGTATGCCTCATGTTCCGAATCGGCATTGGAGTCACTAGATTCCTCCAGGGTGGATTTTCCCCTAGATTTCCTAGAAGAAACCCTAGATGAACTTAGTTGATCAATCTGCTCATGGATTGTTTCCAGCCTTTGGTCAAATCTCCTCTGCATTTCCTTCCACATATCATCCATTTTACGTGATAACTGAGCAATGGTAAGTTCATTTTCCTGAGACATGGTGAAACCTGCAAAACTTGACAAATTGTTAGTAGGAAATGCCTCACTTGCTCCCTTAAGTGTTTCACTCCTCTCGTGTTTTCACTCAAGTGCTTATATCACTCTAATGCTCTCACCAATTCACTTCTCAAGCCACTTGATTGTTTCCTTTGAAGAAATCAGAAATTTTCTCAAAGAAGTTCAATCAAACCTTAATCAAATAGTATCCAATTGTACCAAAGGAACAAGAAGCAAGAGTAGAAACGGAAAGCTCAAGTAATGAATTCGATAAGGAATGGAACGAGGAAAAATTGATGTACAAAAAAAATGTCCAAGTACGATGATGGAGTTTCCCAAGTGTTTTACTTAATTTCCTAATTGATTTTGGGAACCAAGTTAGGTGATGTATTTATTTGGAAAATTCCTTAAAGTCGGCTTTCCCAAAATTTCCAGATTCCTTTTTCCTTAACCTTCCAAAAGTCGGCTAGAAACCCAAGTGCCAATCAGATTTTGGTAACTTCCTATTCTAACCGAGACTACTCTCTCCAATTTCCAGAAATTGGTTTCTTAAAAACCCTTCCCTCTCGGCCACACACCTTTCCCCAACAGTCGGCTCTCTCTCTTCTCCCAAGCAACAAGGCAATTCGGCTCCCTTCCTCTTTTTGCAAGGCAAGGCAGCCATGGTTCTTGTTTCAAGATAATGGCCTCCCAAGATGATGCAAGTGATGTTACCCAAGACTCCCCCAAGCGACTTGCTCAAACAACTTTCAAGAACTCTATTCCTAAAATAAGGAAGCCATGTATGGATGCAAGATCTTACAAGAGACTTTTTATCCGAAGAGAAGTTCAAGTGTTCAAGTCCCAAGGTAATCAAGAACTCCAAGAACCTCGCAAGGTGGTGCACGTAGTCAAAGTTCAAGGTGATCAAGAATTCCAAGAAGAGGTAGGTCAAAATTTTTAGAGGGCCTTCTATGTTTTAATTTCCTGTTTTGGGTAGTAACAATATGTAACACCCGACTTAGCAATGAAGGCTCGATCCTCCCCTCAATTTCTTGTCAACCGAATGTTTTCTTCTTTTCTTTCGTTCCTTTTTTTTTTTTTTTTAACTCTAAGAACTCACAGCTACTCGGCTGTTTTGGAGTGAAATTTCCAGAATTACTGTCAATTCCCCAATTTGCAATAACTCACAACCCAAGTTTCCCAAGGCTACAAAAAACCTTTCCAAGAACTTGAAGACTTCAAGTTGATGAACACGTTGATAAGCAAGGACTTCAAAAACCTTAAAATTTTGTAGGTTTTCTTCAAGAGCCACAACACCAACAAGTTAGACCCCAAATCAGTTCAGAAAATTAAATGCAACATCTTGGATAAACAAAGGAACACTTGGACAATTTTTGGCCAAACTAGGAAACCCTAGCCGTCTTCTTTTTTTTTTGTACTAACCAGATTATCCAAAGACAACCACGGCTAAGCTTTGAGGCAGATCCCAAGGAAATTCACGCAACAAAATAACGCACGAAGTGTACAAGAATCAAAAGAGAAGAATTCAATAAACGATGCAACAAGGAAACAAATAAGATGCGGCTGTTTTCTTTTTTTTTCTGTAATTGTCACACGGACTGACACAAGGAAAGACACGACCAGATTTGAAGAGAATACTAGAAAACTTACGAAGAAAAAAAAAGGAGAAAAACAAAGAACCTCAACGGGATATACTTGATGTCGTCGACTAGCTCTTGATACCAACTGATGTGCGACGGATCTAGACGAACACCAAGTTGGGTTGATTACGGAACCTTGACCCTTCTAGAATCACAAGCCACGAACTAAGGAGACTCCTTAACCCAAGACTAGCAAATTTAGTGAACCAAAAGTATAGTTAGAAGAACGCCACAATCAAGGAGACTACTTGATTGATAAGTTCAATGAACTGCTTGAGATTAATTCTCAAGTATTCAAAGGGAATTCTCTTGAGGCAAGAGAGAGTGAAAAAAACTCACATATATTTTATAAAATCTGAATTATTCTTTAATGAATGAAAACCTAGGCTATATATAGCCTTACAGGACTCAAACCCTAGAATGTCCAATGGACGACCTTGCCCTTCATTAAGGGTGAAAATATCTAACAACTAATTGACTAAAATTAAGACTCTGAATTCGGCCAAAGTGAAGTGAAAAATTGACCGAAGTTATTAATGCTAACAAACAACTAATAATGGTAACTAAAACCCTAATTAGCAAGCTAGTGCTCCGTGAACTAGTCTTCACTTGGTTCTTCCATTTGAAGGAAAGTGTATAGAGTAGTTTCTCCATTATGTAATCCTTCAATGGTCCTCAAGTCATCACCAACTCGTTCTTGAATCGTGCAAACAAGAGCTTGAAGTGATTCTTGAATTCTCCTAGCACGCGCTCTTGTAATTGGACCACTGGGTATTTGCATGACCTGAGCACTAGAAGTTTGAGCAGCCTTGAGCCCCTCCTCATTAGAACTAGCTTTTAGTCAAAACATGAAATTTTTATTACTTTGTCTTAGCTTCTCAGCACCTCCAAGAACACCTTAAACGGACTTTGGTAGCTTGAGATATGACCATTTGGAGGTAGTACGGTTAACTGGCCGGTTAGTTGGAATTTGGTTCTGTGAATTGGGAATTTGACTGGGTTACACTGGAAATTAGACTAGGTGGTCTTTACCAAAGTTGTAGCCCTTTGTCTTAGTTTCGAAATGGTATAAGTTATACCTCAATCCATTAGGCGTAGCCTCGGTTGTATCCGTTACGCAAAAACACATCAAATCTGTCTTTTGTTAAACTTCATTTCCGCACATGTCGTTAGCTTGATTTTTGTACTTGTATTACCTTGAGCCTATTGAACGGCTATTGAAATGGATTTTTGTTGTGTGTAACTTTGGGTTTGATTGAGGAAAATAATGAAGCCGTAAATGGCTGGAAAATTAGGTAAATACAAAGGGCATGCTGCCCAAATTTACGCTCGAGGACTAGAGAAATATACTTGCGACTTGAGTAAGGGTTAAGAGTGAATACTACTTGAACCATCTAGGATATTTGCGTCTTCTTTTTCCGAGGTATATAAGTAAGGATTTGGCCGAACTTGTACCATTGAGAAATAAAATAATGACTGCTCGGAGTATGTTTTCCTTGTACTTTCGACTCAAAAGTTATTTCCAAGTATACATGTTACAAAATTTTTCGGTTGGAAAAGCGAGCAAGTGTTTCACGACTATTCTAACAAGTGAATTTCAATTTCTTGATTCTTGTTGAACGAAACGTCTAAGTTTCGAACCTTAGTCGATTTTCAAACTTTTAAGTCAAGTTTTATCGCAGATTTGGACTCCAAACCCGGAGTACAACCCAGACGCGATCACTAGAGGCACTACTTTTGGTGAGTGCTTCCAAATATCAGATTGAACTTAATATTTGGGATTTATCTTTGACCAATGTGATTACATGATATATAAGTGATTTGATAAGGCAAGGGTGTACTTTATCGCACTTGCCCTAATAAGACTTGTTCTTGTTCATCGATTTCAATTGTCTTGCTCTACATGTGTATGAATTATATCTTGCCTGGAATTCCAGAAACCCTGTGGCTAGTTAATCGAGTCGAGCCGGCAAGGGCCTGGTCGATTAGATAACGAACCCTGGGTAATTAGTGATGTCGAGTGGAGTGTTATCTCCTCGGCTAATCGGTACACTCGAGTATTACCACCCGTGTTTCGTGTGGCGTGCGGGCCCGGAAAGGGGGTTGATCGGTGAACGGAGACTGGCGTGAAGTGGGGTTTTTCTGGACTAGTTCATTACTTGAAAGTTGACGGAGTGTCAACTACCAATCGATCGAGCTGTGATGGAGCTGAGATATGAGCCACTATATCCTTACATGTGAATGTGAACCAGATATTTCTTGATTATCTGAAATATTATTTCTCTGATTCGACTTGTTTGATCGCTATTTCACTATCACCCTGTTATTACTTTATTTGATGTCCAATTTGATATTTGAAACTTCACTGAGCTTTGGCTCACTCCGTTAGTTTTGTTTTCCTTACAGGGGTACGAGCGAGGCGTGAGATATGTAAAGACCAGCGTAGCCTAGTTGTTTTTGACTTTTGACTTGTACTCGCGCTATCACTCGATTAGGATGATTGTACTTGGGATTGTATATACTTTGAACTTGTTTGGGTATATAGAGACTTTGTATATTGATTGTGTATCGATGTAAATTATAAGTTTGAATTGTGTCGTTATTTATTATCTATGGATGTATGCACGTGATACGAGTGAGTGAGTCCTGGCGAGAGCTGGGCAGGCGGTCCGCCGAACCCTTTGGTACGCCTTAGGGGAAGGTGGGGTCGTCACAGGTGGTATCAGAGCCTAGGGGTGAATTGATCCGGATAGATTGAGTGCTTGATACGATAGGCTAGGGTTTTATTCTTGAGCTTAGCCTTTAGCCTTATTTTCTACGTCTCATGTACTTACTTTTGCAATGTTACTTGCAAACCTAGGTGATGGCGGGTACTGACGCTTCTGGTGGTGCTGGGCCGTCTCAGCCCGTACCTACTGATATACCTACTGCCGTTCCTACTGACGAGCCACATCTAGAGGGGCCCGTCTATCGCGTGATCATGTACCAGGAGAGCCCCGGTGGGCCAGTGCAGCGGTGGTCCCCAGCGCGCAAGATCCGGCGTTGCGACTGCTGGAAGACCTACTCTTACCCCGATCGGGTAGTGCTCATAGTGGACGATGAGCGGAGACGATTGGGTAGCGCCAATCGTAGGTGCCAGTTGGAGATAGAGCGTCTCCAGGCTGCTCACCGAGTTCAGGGAGCCCGAATCCGAGAGCTGGAGGCCTCAATTTTGGAGGAGCAGCAGCGGATTGATGCCTTCCGCGAGCAGGCTCAGGCGGCTACTGTGACGCCCCGAAAAAAAATGAGTTTGAGAACCCGGAAATTTTCTAATTT